AAATTCTCAATACAAACAGTTTTTTCCCCTACTGAAGTGTTACAAAGCAAAAATGACATGGGGTGTAAATACTTGTGATGTATGAAACTAACTGTATAAATGAATTTCTATTAATTTGGTCCTGTAATTACAGAACTATCTGGAAACAGCTGTTTCTTAGGTGTTTGTACGCTTGTACAGTGTAGGTTTTAGTGGATTTCTGATCTTGGTCGCAAAATGCAAACTATAGAAATAACTGAGGCATTCAAGTTTAGCATTACTGTAGAGCTTAAGACTTGTTCTAATATCGCCTTCCAACTTTTATGATGAAATCATTTATTCCAAGTGATTAAAGAACATGTAGACAAGGATACCATATACAGAGTTGGTGTGAAGACTTACAAGAGCAGTAGAAGGTCTGGTATTTGATTATCACGAGAATTCTTCTAGATAAAAATGTCTCCTATGAAGTATAGAAAACAAATAGCTGAACTACACCACCTGGAATATTTTCGTCTTGTTACATCAAATGTAATTGTCTGCAGCAAAGAAAAGAATTATCCTGTTGGACAGGAAGTTGCATTTACTCCTGCTTGTTACTATAAGGAAAGATGTGATACTCTTGGTGACTATAAAGATTAAACCAGAGATTTATGTTAATGCAAAGGATTAAAAGAATCTTAATAACATGCATAAAGATGCAAATGTTTGCCTGCATTTTATCTGCTTGCAGATGAATTTGCCGTAAGGGAAATACTGAAGGGGGAGAACACATCCTCTCTCCCTGAATTGCAACATCTGGTTTAATACTGCACTCGCATGGTGACTGAGTGTTAGTTGTCTTCACCAATGTTTTTGAATAGTTTGATACTTCCCTCATATTCATAATTTAGGAGAAAATAACTATGTGACCAACTTCAAATATTCCTGTTCATTGTATGGCTTCGTACTTTGCAGAATTTGATGAAACATACATATTTCTTAGTGTATTTTTTTCTTGCTACCTTGTAACTTTCAAAGACTTGTTTTTATAAACAGTACAGAACTTAAAATATTGGCCTCACTGTAGAGTTGTCATCTGCATTGAATTCAATTTCAAACTGTCCTCCCAGTGCAAACACAAGCCACACCAGCATGGAAAATTATGTGCTTTATTTGGGAGCCCTGACGTATAGTATTACACATGTATATACATACACTTCACATGGAGAAATTATAGAAAAATGGTTTGAAAAAGGAGGCATTTAAGGTGAAGGTGTAAACATCACTAACCATTTATGTTCTGTTTCAAGTTTGTTTTCCTGCTCTTCAATCAATTCTTTACTAACAGAGGAGTGTATATAAACAGAAGCCACCTGGATTTGTTATGCAATTCAGCTGATGTGATCGTGGAAGTGTCCCAGCTCTCAAATCAATACAAATCTTCAAAAGGTTTTGAGTAGTTGAACATCAAATAATCCATATAGTAAAAGTCATAGCTCCGTTGTCTTTGAGAAGGAGAAAGCTGTGCAAAGTATTGTTGTGTAATTTTAGTGGTAGTTCTTTCTTCATTGGAGTGCCTATCTTTGAATTTAGGGAAAGTCAAATTTTGTGGAGCACCAATTAAGTGCAAGAAGAAGTTTGCATCTTCTTCCATACTTTCAAATTTCCCAACGAAGTCGTAGTCTATTAAGCATGGGCTGCAAAGCCTATTGACATGATCCCAGTGGATATCCATACCCACTGGCCTGTGTACGTCCAGGAGATATTGAATGAACTCTTTAAATTTGACACCAGAGCCTGTCCTTAGTGCTTCTTTGGTGGCGTTGACACGATACCTGGAAATTATAGCTTTGCCAAAAACCGGGTGATAGTAATTGTTTGGATGTTCAAACTTGTCCCGAAATGCAGACACCAGCTTTTCAAAAGGTTCACGAATGAAAAGCATCTTGGTGTAAGTGTTGAGCCTGTGATAGATTCCTTTGCGATCAAACCCATCCAGCCTTTTTAAGTAGTTTCCGTAGTGCACTGTGTTGTGCTGGATGTCCTTTGTGGAAGCAGCCAGCCCGTTGAGAACCATGAGCACCCGTTTCCAGTTAGAGCAGCCGGCTTTTGGAACTTCGCAGTACAGAACTCTGTATTTATCTTCTACAAATATTCTAGAAACATGGTAAGGAGTGATTATTCTCCTATTATTACTCTTGTACTTTGAACAAGTTTCCCTCATTATTTGCTTTCTTTCGCTTTGGATCTGATAGAGAGTTTTCCACTTGCTGTTACTTCTGTCCTCGGATTTCAGTGTGGGCAAGTTGAGAGTGGAGCTGTTCATGGAAATCAGGATCGGGTTCTTTTTAATTACGAATCTCCTTCTCCGTTTATGGAGCCTGATAGAATTAATTTCCTCACCTTGCTGTTCGTAGTCTTTCCCCAGCGTTACGCTGCTTTGCCGTCTGTCTGTGCTCTGAAGCTTAGTGGGCATGTTTTCAGCTGGGTGTAATGAACCGCTCAGCTTTACCGTCGCTATTCCATCTGCAGTATTTTTTCTTAATCTTCTATCCTGGTTATTGCTGGAAACGCAGTCCTGATGGAAAAATAGATGAAAGATGTTACTAAATGAGAAACTGTTTGTCACTATTAACAGCTCGTGCAACTTAATGTAGATCTATTCGTACAGCTCCGAGTGCATTGCCGAGAGTCCTCGGTGCTGTGCTCACACGCTGGTAGCGACTTTTCTTATCTTACCCTGTGCTTATGTTCATTCCAAAGGCTGAGATGAGCCTGAGGTGGTAAAGTGCTGTCCAGATTTGGGTTTTACTATACTTTGTGTGGTTCCTGCACCTAGGTTTTGATAGATTTTTGTCTTAGATATGCTGCCTTAAATACTTCTTGTGGAAATCTCGGTATATTTTGAGGACTTATTTAATTATTCCAGACTGCCTGTTGTTTGTTTTAAAACAGACAGTAAATAAATAAACAGTCAATAAAGCACACATCTGTTTTATTTGCTTCGTTCCCCCTCATCCCTCGCTCTTTCTGTAGGCTCTCTTTGCACTGAGGGCAATTGTGCGCAGAGTAAAGCCTTCCGGGGCTGATGGGAGGGAGGGAAGGTAATGGTGCTTCTGGAGTGAGGACGGGCAGGGAGCAAGAGTGGGAAGAAAGAAGCAAAAAGGGCTGCAGTGAGAAAAAGGATGCTTTATGGAGAGGCAGAGGACTTGATGAAAGCAGCATGGATAGGGAACCCAAAGGGAGATAAATGAGATGAGTCTGGGACCAGAGCAATTAAGAGTTGATGAGCAGCAAGGAGGAGTCAGAATGAAGCTGTGAGTGGGAGTAGGGGAGTGAAAGCAGTAAGCAATGTGGGTCTATGGTACGGGCTTTCAGGAACCTGATCTCTTTCATCAGGTGGATCTCACTGGCTGATACTATGTTCTGTACACAGCCCGCGTATGTTCCATTGCTTCCTGCTTCTCAAAGCAGCAGAACTAAATCCCTGTCTACAAGTCTATGCTTCTGCAACTGAAGTTGGGTCCTGGACACTGTAACTCCTTGTCATTCCTGTTTTGAGGAGTCACCTGGGAGCTGAATGGCACATGAAACCCCAGGGAATATTTCAACAGAGGATGCAGATATAGCTGTGCAATGTATATTGCTTATCTAAAACACTTAATGTTTATTTATATGTCTTATAAATTGTAAACTTCAGATTTTTGCAGTTCTACTTGCTCTGTAATAGTGTTTAAGTGGCTTCAAAAATAAGATATTGGAGGAATTGTGAAGTCTACACATAAGTATTAAACAAAACTCGTGAATGCTGTGCAAGTTTTTTGTAGAAGAACTTTGATTTCTAAACTGTTTTGCTTGCTGTTCAGGTAGAGGTGGTGTGTGATGTGCTGTCTGGGAAACCAACTGACAATTTGTTACACGAGGCCCTATTCAGCTGTCAAGAGTGATTGTTCTACTCTGCTCTTATCTTCAGAGGTTGCTTTCAGTATTCAAAGGTGTATTAAAGTTTTTGTCTAGGTAAAACAGAAGGTGTGACACAGTATTTCTATCTGTTACCCTATGTATAGTGGCAGAAACTTGATCTCATTTACTCGTGGTGTGGCATGTATTTCAAGGTTATCAAATTCAGACTTCCAAGATATTCACAGCACTGGTGATGATAACCTACACGTTCTGTGAAACTCAAATGCCATGATTTGAATGTCTTCTGTCAATACAGCTCTTCATCCAGAAGGCCAGGCAGGAGCTGTGGAGATGGAGCGATGTCAGCCACTGACACTGATTTCACTGGCTGCCAGCTGTGTAGTTAGTTGTTCCTTAGCACACTTTGCACTGGAGCTTGAAATCTTGAGTAGCTGCGGTGGGCTTTCACTGCTGCTGTCAGTGTGCTAGCAGCCACTAGATGGAGGAATTTCACAAGGATTTTTCTTTAGCCTATTCTGAAGTGTCTCTCAAGACACTCATTTGCTCAGTGAGATTTCCCACAATATTAATATGCAAAGTTTACAGTATCTGTTAGCAATATCCAGTCTAGGGGAAAAAAACTAATAAAACTAAGGTTGTGTAGCTTATAAAATTCATGTTTTAAAAGGCAAATTTGTACTTCATGACAAAGCTTTGAAGCATCATTCCATTTCAGTGCTTCATCTCTAGTCTAGTGTTATCTGAGCCATCTCTATCCTTACTCTGTACTTGAATATGGATGCAATTTTCCTTATATACTTGTGGAAACTTACTTTTTTTGGTTGCTGGAATCCCATGTTATATTTTATCCCTAAACAAAGAAAGAAATTACAGTCATTACTTAAAAATACAAACAATTTAATTTTTCTTGACTAATATCAGTGTGTATCATCTCAGTTACTAAAAGGAAAACAGAAATAGAAGTTATTGTTAGTACAATGATACAGACCAATGATGAATTCAAATTGATGTGCAGCTCATAGCAACAACACTCCTTTGAAGGACTCTTTTTATAGATGTTAAAGCAATCGTGGAAGGGATTAAATGTCATTATTTTTTATTTTTCCCTTTTACAGATGGGGAAACTGAGATGGAAGAAAAGTGATTGCTTAACCTCAGCTAATAGAAGAACAAGAAACTCTGGATCACAGGTTAGAGTTCTGAATAAATGCTGTTCTTTGTGTACATTTTAAATTTTCCCAAACTTTGGATAGTATTACTTAATCATAATAGTAGCTCGCATTGAGTACTATCCTTTGCTGTAAAACCAAATGCACCATGGAGTTATGTGTAAGTAAGTAAATGCTTGTAGAGTTTAGAGGAAAAACACATATTTTGCCACATCTTCTGGCTTCTACAGTGGAGCCTACTTGAAAATATAATGATAAAGATGCAAAAATGCTAGAAGGCAGCTCTAGGAGATGTGTATGATCTTTGTTGTTCCTAATCTCTATTAAGTATAATAATAGGAAACACTTCTTAATTATTTTAGGGCTTTTCAAATTAGAACACTGCTAGCCTTGTTGTCAGTTGCTTCAGTTTAATAAATCTGCATTATGAATCCACAGCATTTTGACAAGGACAATTACAGTGCTTTGTAACACCTTCCACTGTAAGTGGAAACATCACTGGAATAGTTCAGTCCAGATGTTCATGGTACTATGAAAGTTTTTGTGAAGAACTAGGCATGCACAGTGTTTCGATTTTAGTTTATTGCAGTGAAAGTAGTTAGTCCAACTTACATGATTAATCATGTTTTTTATCAGAACTACAAACCGTTGTTAATAGTAGAGTCAGTCAGATTGCTAAGGCTATTTCTATGCTCTTAGAGCTCATCTAGCAGTGCTCATCACTCTTTTGGCTCATGCTTGAGCTTTAATTCCACTACAGCAATTTGTTAGCAATAAAATCAAGGTGGATGGGGAATGTTGCAATTCTGTGACTATTAAAAGCAAGGGGCGTATTATTATTTTTACTTCACCAGAAGTAGGTTCTGGACATTTTACAGGAGTCTTAAGCTGCCTTCTAGCTCCTTTGCACAAGCATTTAGCTGGAAAATAAAGTAAGGAGGTATATTCTAAGGAGAAACAGAGCTAGTCTATCGTGTCCTTGTCAGGGTTATAGAAGTTTAAAACTGGTTGCCTTGCACTAGGCATTACAGGTGTTAACGAGCAGGTACAAGAGCTGTTTTTTCCTATGATTGAGTGTTTTTGTAGGACTGTTTCATAAAGGTAGCTCTCTTTAGAGACAAATAGTTTGCACTCATACTCTACGCTTTGAAAAATTAAAAATAAATGCTGTTGGGATATGAGTAACTGTTTAGAAATGATTCTTTGCTTATTGGTGCTAACACATAATCAGAACAACAATTCATGTTCAATGTAAATGTTTGGTGAAGCACTTGCCAATCTCTTCAATGTTTTCTGAATTTGACTTCTAAGAGTTGGCTTCTTTTAGCTGTCTTTCTCATGATACAGTCTGTCACTTCAGATTTAAAGCTACACGGGGAAAAACCCTCAAGTATGGAGAATTCAGGGAAATTACATTGCACAGATCTACTCTGCTAATCAAATCTAAACTTAACGTTACACTGCATCATTGCATTTTGGTAATAATATCTGAGAACTGGTAAGAAATATGGATAGTAATTTCTCTTTGCCTTAAATAACCTACGGGTGTCTGTGTCCAGGTAAAGTTAGTGATCATTAAGTGTTTGGTGCTGGACATGACAGTGACCAACATCTCACTATGCTCAGACAGAATAGCCAAGAGATGCCATCATTCTATCAATTGTATGTCATTTATGTCAGTTTTCATGGTGTTTTTTTTCTCTTCCCTTTGTGCAACCATGAATTTCCAGACCTGAGTTTGGCCTATGTTATACGACTGCTTTTGTTGTCTTCATGAAATATGAGCCTTATGCTTCATCCAGTCCTACCATATAGTCAGTCCCATTGTGAGTTTTTCTTTTTTTTTGAATGCTACTAGCAACACAATAAAAGGGCCTTCATCTTCCCTGTGTAATATTATATAGCTTTGCCTCTCTGCCTTCTCCTCTGTCTTTGTTTCAAGACCTAATTTTGGTTTGCCTCTGGTGTTTTCCTCTGTTCTGAGACTGCACTACAGCTGAAATATTTTTTAATAAAAATGATAACTTCAAGTCTGCATCTGACTCTTTCCCTTTAGTGGACTTCTGTGAGCAGTGTATACTTGTTTGCCTCATCCTAGCTGATTTGTGAAATACATATACTCTGGAAGGGCTGTTAATATCATTGCATGAACATCTGTGTCAAGTGTCCTATTCTCATGCACTTCAGTTTTATGTGCTTATTCAGAGAAGACAATACATACTTAACCACAGAATCAATTGTGGATTAGTACTGAGAATTCTGATTAGCATGAAAAATCTTTAGTTTCAAATGGATTTTCTCAAAAATATTGGTCAGACCACTTTAAATTTCCAAAAAGGAAAAAAAGGTGAACTGTTAGCTTGTGCTGGTATACATGAACTTAGCGTTTCTTATCCTAACTTATTCCAATGTCTAATTGTTTACATATTTTAATTAAATTACTCATCAAAGTGGAAAAATACAGTTGCTGCTTCTGTGAACTGTTTGTTTTCACATATGGTAAAACTACAGTGTGCATGCTTAGAATGCTTTTTTAACTAGAACTGTTAGAAAATGCTTTTATATTGAAATGGAGGCCTAATCAATAGGAAAAACGATATATGGTGTGTATCTGCTTTGTTTACTATGCATGTTTCCTTTTTATATGTAAAAAACATTTTTTGAAGAAAAAACAAAAAACAAAGCACCTTTAAAGTCCCAATCTAAGCTACATACTCAGTACCTCATTTTAATAGGGGGAAATTGATGAGGCAAGGTACTGAAGGCTTAGCAAAATGGTAGGACATCTTAGGTTGTGTATCAAGAAAAGTGAATCCATACAGTAAGTCTATATAATCTAACATCTCTGAGTCCTCAGTGAAGCTGAAAGTATGCAGTGTCATTTTCCACAGGTAAGTAAACTTTTACAGTGATGTTTTGGTTAACTGATGCAGTGCTGAGCCATTGTCATAGCTAGATGCTCAGTGACAGGACAGGCACTTCTGTTTACAGAGAATTGCGGAGTCATGTGTTTCCGAGACACTGTAGTGTCTAACTTCAGCTCATGTCTAATGTTACACTGATTGTTGCAATGTTCAAGATGATGCAAACAAACCTTATTGTATTCTCTGTCAATGGCAAGGTGCATGCAGGGAGACAGAGCCTCCTGATAGTTGACCAAAGAATGTATTTGTCACTCTTCAGGTGAAGGCAATCAAACCAGGTCTCCATAGCATCTTTACTCCTGTAGCACCTTTTTGTATCTGGTGGCGGAATGATTATATGTGACAAGAACGATTCTATTTCCGTACGAATTGTAAGAGTGAATTACTGAAGAGCTTGCTTGGAACGCACCTTTTTCTTTAGGGGTGCGGGAGGCTTAAGCGTTAACTGTCACGTAATTTTATTCTGACAGCCACTGCTAAGGTATGTACCATTTAGTAATTTTTACTTCTACTACATTTTGTGATGTAGAGTTGTTACCATTCCAGCTTTTCACACAGAAGATGCAATTAGTGACTCCTCTCCAGTGCTCATGACATCTTTTTGTTAATGTTTACAGCACTTCCTTTTGTACTTTTCCTGCTCTGACTGTTCATGCTTCTGTTCCTCCCAATAACTTTTGTCCCTGTACCTTTCTTTCCCTATATAAAGAGTTGTCAGTGTCTGCTCTGCCTGTGATCCAGCCTTTTGGAGGGCATAACAAAAGGTGAAGCTTGTAATCATTACAAAACAAAGAATGTCTGCGTTTGACTAACTCCATTTTAATTGATACTGCTTACTCATGTTCTATTGCTTTACTATCGTCCTTGGCAGCAAAGTTGAGGATGAAAAATCTTTTCTCATAGGGAAAAATTAGGTGGGGTATTCCACGCTCTTCAGATGTACACAAATTTAACAGCAACATCTGACAAGATTGGATTTTGTCTAATAAAAGATAAACTGCATAAAGGTGTTACGGAAAATAAATCTGTTTCTTTTCTTAATGCATTAAATAAAAACTGTTCATTTGCCATGCATCCTGTTAAACCTTTTTCTGTTCTTATGCCTCTGATTTTGGTATGCAAAGTCAACCTCTGATTATTCTTAGTGGCAGAGAACCTGATTCTTAAGTCCATCTTACTGACTTAAAGAAGCTGCAAACTTCTTAAAAAGTTTGGTGGTGATTTCCTTTGCTCAGGAAAGGATGGATAGAATGTTTCTCTGGCCATTTCCCAGTCTCCAAAGGAGCCAAACCTTGAGAGCCCTAAGCAGTTAAGCGTAACTGGTGGAATAAAGAGCTGCTTTCTTGTTTGGGAAGGGATAAGAAGTTTGCCAAGCTACTAAGTTATTTTTTTAACTTTTTGTTTAATAAGCCTTCCTTCATATGTAGGCTCCTTTGTAAATCAGAAAACTTGTTTTTTCCCAAGTTCTTTGCTTTTTGATTCAAAACAAATCCCATCATTGTCACACATGCTATTTTAAATAGCTGAAATGCAATGTATTTTAGAAACTTTGAACTCTGACAAGTGACTTATTCTTAAGTGGTTGTGGCGTACTGGGATACTTCAAAAAGGAAAAAAAAGCCATCTTCTCCCTTGTTTTCTACTTTACTAAGTGCACAAACTGAATTGCTTCATATTGATCTTGTGCTTCTTATTGATCAGTCAGATTCAGAGAGGTAGGCATTGAATCTAAGTAAAACAGATACTTCATATTTCGAAACCAGGTAAACTTGCAGATTTTCTGTCCCATAGGCAGCAGGCAACACAGTACCATGCTGCACTTGTATCATGGGTTACGTATGGCAGTAGAAACCTGTGTGAACTTCAGTTGATTAAAGCACAATTACTCTGGCTTTTTGTGGCTGAAATGCCTTTCCATCTTAATGATGTTAGGGAGTCTCAGGACAGAAGTACTGTATGTGGGGAAAGCAATGCAATTCTGAAGAGCATACCCTGCAAATAATTGTTAGGTTCATCCATCAGTTTGAACAAGAAAAAATTGCAAATGAGCAAACCAAAGAAGAGATCAGTACACACATTAAATGACTTCTAATGTTT